AGAGCCTGCTGGAGCAGCTGGGCCAGGCCCGGGAGCAGCTCAGGGACAGCGAGCGACTCTCGGCGCGGAGGGTGGAAGCTCTGAGCCAGGTAAATCCGCGAATGCCCTCGAAATAGCGCCGGCAGGCAGCGCCGCGCCGGGCCTCGCCTCGCCTCCCTGGTGCGGGTGTTCTCGAGGAGCGGCAGCAGCATTCACCCCATTTCCACACTCCTCTCTAGAAAAATGCGTAATTTAAGCTTAGTAAGTCCAGCAGTGGTTGTCCCGAATGGAGGATGCAGGCGTTTTGCATTCACACTGCTCACTGGCGTTTATGGAGAGAAACCGAGGTGTGCAGGCACCAGCGCTGACGACTTGGTTTAAGTGACTTGCCCGGGGTGGCACAGCAAGCTGGTGGTGGCAGAACCCGGCGAGAGAGCAGATGTGTTGACCCCTGCAATGCAATGCTGGTGCGGTTGACAGGACTTGCCCTATTGCTGTGTGCCCAGAGCTGGACTGTGCCCAGAGCAACTCAGCTGTCTGTATCCAACAGTAGTTCCCACTGCTTTGAGTTCAAGAAGGTAAACCGTAAAATCCTAAACCAAAAATTTAGCATGGCGTTATAAATCTTCATGCAACCATTTTCACAAGGAGAAAGAAAAATAGTACAAAACCCCTAAATTTTCAAGTCCCATGTTACTTGCTGAAGACCCTTCTCTTTTATCAGATCACCAGATGCAACAGTTTTGTTCTGTAAGATAACACAACTGATGCCACCACTTTTCTATTAAAAGTAGTTTGTTGTTGTTTTTTTTTTTTTTAAGCACACTTGAAAACGTATTTTTGTATTGACATTAAGGCAGCACGTTAGTACGTGGAGAAGTAACAGGCAAGTCTGGATTGTGAAAGAGATAGATTAAGGAAATAGATTCTTTTATGACAGGAAAAAAAAAGTCTCAAAACTGCATACCCTCCCATCCACCACAAGTGCTGTTTTTGTTACTGCCATTAAGACTTTCCCATGTTCAGTCTGAAATACTTAAAGAATTTTAGAGCATTTCTTTCTGTATGAAGCTGCATAAAGGAATTTCCAAACTGAGAAGCAGTACTTAAAATTGAAACAAGTATTTTTGTCATAAGTAATCTCTTGACCCAATGCTTATACAAAACATTTTCCATATATGACACTCACCTAAAATACATTTAAATAAGTTCAAGTTTGGAAATTTGTAGTAAGAGATGATCTCATTGACACTTTGCAGACAAATGACAAACCTGTTGTATCTGAATATGTTTTGAAGTCTGATGCTGAATGTTTTTAATCTGTAGCAAAGGGAAAATTTAGCATTTAGCATGATGCTGAAGAATTTAAACATGAGTAATAAGAACAAGTGCTATTTCTGTACGATAGACATTAATTTTATTCTTTTTAGACGTAAATATTTTATGCCCAATCAGAAACACTGAGATCATTGTCACTAAAAATAATAACAACAGAAAAAGAGATTTTTGTGAAGTCAGAGGCCTACATGCTGGCAAAGAAGAGTGCTCCCTGTGATTTACAGCTCCATTAGCACTCCCGAAGAACTGGAAGGGTAGAGTTGAGCTGGTACCTGTTTCATGGTCTGTGCTGGCATGACTGATTCTGGAGGAGCAGTGCTGCAGAGGTTTCTGTTACCAGCATCCGCTGCTTGTTGAGGCTGTCAAGCACAAGCTGTTTTTGACAAGGTCAGGACTCGGGTACTGCAAATGCACCGCACTACAGAGTGGTTGTACCCTGGTCAGCGAGCAAGCTTTTTCCTTCTCAAAACACCTGCAAAGGCCTTAACTTAATGCAGCAGGGATGATCCCACAGAGCTTCCAATTCAACCACAACGTGCAGCAACGAGATACTCAATTGTTTCCTAAGGGTATGTCAGATCCCCTTGCATACCTTGGCAAGTCAGCTATGGCCAAAATAGTCATTGCTGCCACATGGATTCCGTTTTCTGTTTGCTTGTCCTAGCACTCATCCTTTCCTAGGCAGGAAAGTTGCTGTGTATGCTCCCTCTGCTTTGTCCTGTGACAGTGCCAGGCAATGAATACACTTCAGTGGTTCTTGATATGGTAACTTTCCAGTTCCACTTTTTTTTTTTTGAGGAAAATCTCTACTATCTGGTAATTCAGAATGCAGGATCAGTAATCATTTCTCAGTCTCCTTAGTTATTCCTTTTAAACTACTTTGTTTCTTGTGAGTTGCATCTTTAGTTTGTTGCTGCTGTATATCTTTTCATAGATTCTTCCTGAATTTTCGCTTGTTGTTTCTGATTTCTTCATTCTACTGACTAGGAAATGTGTGTTTAGCTGTCTGAGCAGCTCTTGATTTTGATTGACTGATCTGTCAGTTTCAAGGTCAAGTGATTATATAGAAATGAAGTGAATTTTATTTTACTTTTTAAGTGCTTTGCTGTGAGTATAGGAGCAATATGGAATTACTGCAATATGGAATTCAGTCTTAGAAATATTTTGGCTTTTGAGTTCACTTTGCTTTTAAATAACTTACCCTCTCCCGTATATTTAGGAAGTACAGAAGTTGAATCAGCAACTAGAGGAGAAAAACGGAGAGATACAGCAGATGATAAATCAGCCTCTGTATGAAAAAGAGAGAGAAATCTTACGACTTCAGAAGAGCTTGGCAGAGAGAGAGAAGGCTCAGGCCACCAGCGATGTTTTGTGCCGTTCACTCACTGATGAAACTCACCAACTTCAACGCAAATTAGCATCCACAGCAGAAATGTGTCAACATCTGGCAAAATGTCTAGAAGAGAAGCAAAGAAAAGAGCAGGGGAATTCAGATGACCAGATACCTACTGAAAGATCTAATCAGGTATTCTTACTGCTACTATGTTTCTTTAAAGTCTTACTAGCTTCTGAGGTATTAGTTACAATATGATATTTGTAACTGGGAGTAGTGAGAAACATCCCTTCAAATAATTTCACACATAGGGTGAATAGACCACCATGGCAAGCTCCAAATAATTCCGAGTGCCAGAAATTTAAGATGGAAGCAGTTGTCATTCACTTTTATTTTGGCCATCTCACTTATCATTAGGGGCTTTATTTTTTTTGTTTTTTTTTTGAGAAGAGAGGATCTTGAGAGGTCCCTTCCAACCTCAGCAATTCCGTGATTACAATTCTTACCTGCATATAGAGGAGACAGTATCTTTATACCGCATCATCCTTCTGTGCATCACTAGATGGTGCTGTGCTTTTGAAAGTGATATCTCCTGATGACTTGTTTTAGCATCTAAATCACAAAACAAAGTAGAGATATTCTAAAGTAGTATTTGTATTAACAACTCTATAGCACGTGCTCTTCTCAGATCGGGATTTGGCTTTGCACATGTAGTACACACCTACAGAAAGTTGGTTGGGGAAGAATGAGTCAAGGTGTCTTACCTTTGTTGGGTTTTTTTTGCTCTGGGGTTCCCCCCTGGCCCCCTAGTACAAGACAATGTTTCCTTTTAGCAGAGATGTTTAGAAAAATTGCTTCATGATAAGATGGTGGCAGAAATGCCACTGAGGGGCACAAAGAAACACCTGGATTTTGGCATGCTTTGCTAATGGCTGTGTGGCTTTGCCACATTATCACCTTAGCTGAAGCTTTTCAGTGTAGAGTATGGGTAGATCATGTTGTTCTGTTCCAGAAATCATGATGGTTCAGAGTCATTAGGTAATTTATGATAATACCATAAGGAAATAACATTAGAGGTGCTGCCTCCAGCAACAGTTCAGAGTTCTGAGTAGGATGCTACAGCCAGTTCTCACAAAAAAGAATAATTCTGTCTTATGCTCTTACTGCTACGTAGTGGTAATGCTGTGTTTCACGTGACCGCTCATCTGTGCTTTTATGATACACTCTATACATGCTCACTTCTACCTTATAAAACATCCCAGGAGCTTTTCCAAAGAAGACTTGTTCACATTAAAGTTACCTGTAAGGAGTTTGGAGGTTGACTAGATATAAGAAAAAAGGACTTAAGGGACTTGAAGCATTTAGTATGATCATATTTTACATGTAATTGATAGACAGGAAACTTGATTGACTTTGATATATGTAATAAGTAGCTAACCTTGTACAGTGGGGACTTCCCTGTTGAAGACGAGAAATTTCAGATGCAATTACTAGCTGATTCTAGGGAATTTTGTACAAAAGTGTTCTAAATTACTCATGTACACTGGGGTTTTTTTAAGCAGATGTCACAACTGTAAAAAAGGGGTATCATTTTAGTCAATTATTTAGCAAGCAGGGTTTTTTTCCCTTCAGTAATTTCTTCCTAGTACTGGCCAAAATTGACAGTAATAACAAAGCAAGATGAAGGCATATCTGTGCCTTTGTCATGCATTCCCCCACTCCAAACAAGTAGTTTCCCAGGAGTTGGTGTAAACTGTTAAGCTCTGTTGTCATCAGCGTAGACCCTCGAGCCATGTAAACTGTGTGGTATTTTTCTTGTTACTTTTAGTTGGCTCAGAATTTAGTAAGACAGATCATTTTTATGACACCACACAGATCTATTTAAAAGCAATACCAAGGCAGTAAAAACCTAAGTGCATTTTTGCTTTGCTTATTAATAATAAAAGCTGTAGGGTATACTATTAGTATATAGAAATAAGTAGATTTAAATGTATGTATTTGTTTCACTGATAGCAAATAGTTTGAGGAATTAAAAAAAAAAGATTACTTCCAGTTTAACAGCATAACTAAGCAGCATTTGGGATTTTTATGTTAAAGTAACACTTCCTTTATCTGAAAATTACAGCTTTTAGACAATGAAACTTCACTTCAAGCTCTTATCTGCAACCTACAAGATGAAAACAGGATGTTAAAACAAAAAGTAGCTCACGTGAGTACTTTCATTCTGTACAAGATTAAGATTTCGTTGAGTATTTTCAATGACAAAAAGTTTGGAATAGGTAAGGCCAATTAAGGTTAATCTAATTAAATGGCAGTTTGACGTGAGTCCAACATTTTTCTTAGTCTTTTCAACATGGCACATAATCTTTGTTCCCTGAGCTAAGAACAACTTCATTACATTATTTTTAATGTGTTGGAGATTTTTTGTTAAAAATACACTGCAGAAGAAAATTGTTTTCATGTTCTTTCCACGCACCAGTATTCGACCCCAGGGGAACAACACTAGGCCCAGGGTGACTGTCTGCCCCTCCCATTCCATAGCATTTAATGCTGTCCCTATGGATTGATGAATGGGGAAGGCTGCCCGTGAAGAGCCTGGCTTACAGCATGATAATCATCTGCTCTCCTGTAAAGTGGCTTATCCACACTCAGTGGTTGAGTCAGCATATTATATTTATCTTTTAGAGAATTTCAGTCCTGCACAAGTAGACAGTCTACGAAAGCTTGGAAGTTTGTGTCTTCGTGTTCTTCCTGACTCTCCTGGGTAATCTTTCAGGTGGAAGACTTAAATGCAAAATGGCAGAAATACGACGCGAGTAGGGATGAGTATGTGAAGCGACTCCACTTGCAGCTAAAAGAGATGAAGTCACAACTGGAGCAGCAGCACGGCGTAACTTCAGCACAAACGAAGTCTGACCTGATGCACAAGGAGATATTCCGGTTAAACAAGCTACTGGAAGAGAAAATGAATGAATGCATGAAAACAAGGAGAGAATTAGAAGACGTGAAGAAGGCTAGTGAAGGAGATAATGAGCGCATACAAATGCTGGAACAACAGGTCATTAAGTTTCTTTTTCCTAGAGGTGGGAATTTGTAGTTTCTCCCCAGACCACTGATGTCCAAGAGGGAAAAATGAAATTATTTCTTTTGATGTTTGCCACTTGTCTTGCCACATTTGGCTATACAGATACTTAACAACACAGATTTAAAGGAAACTCACTACTTAAAGCCAGCAGAACTGCATGCAGTTCTTTAATACAAAATATGAAAGATCTGAAAAATAAATACAAATACCTTTAAAGTATAGACATGATAGAGAAGATAATATTAAGATTCTGGGAATAAGTATTTATAAACAAAGGAATCACAGCCTCAACTTTTTAATCTAACCTGCCAAGGCTCTAATTTATAAAATACTAACATAATAATTCTTTTTCAGGTCCTAGTTTATAAAGATGATTTCACATCTGAGAGATCAGACAGAGAACGAGCACAGAGTAAAATACAGGAGCTTCAGGCAGAAGTGGCATGTTTGCAACACCAGCTAGCAAGAAGACAGGTAAGAAAGCAACAAGCTATTTTTTCAATTAAAGCATGTCAGCAGGCTTCAGGACTAAAATATACTTTTAAATATATTTAAAAAAAATACTAGTACTTCTAAAACTGTATTAGCTCAGTGCAGCTGTTAAAAATTTACATTATTTCATAGTCAATTCACTTGGAGATGCTTCCAAATACATGTGTAATAGCCCTTTCCAGTCCATTTTCCTTCTGCTTTGGACCAACATAGCAAGGGTGAATTCTCAGAAGAAAGAGAAGGATGGCCATGACTCTTGTGTAACAGTGGCATCTTTAAAGTAGCATACTGGCTATATTGTGTGTTTCCTGTAAGCCTTCATTACAACTATATTAACAAACCTGCAAAAACTAATGCGTATTTTACGTACAAATTTTCTGATAAAAACACAAGCAGTGTTTCAGAGAAAGGTGATAAAATATTCTGTTGAAGAATATCTTTTTACTGCCTGTTTTTCAAGAGCTCCTCTTTCTCTTTCTAGGACTCAAGTAGTCATTTCAGAGTTCACGTTGGTAACCAGAATCATATGCACGTACAGACAAACGTTGAACATCTACGAGGCAATAGCCCAGGCCAGACGGGCACGAGAAGAACATCCTCACAGTCTGAACAAGCTTCTCCTCCTGCGGACAATGGAAACTCGGGGTCCGAGGGCAGGGCACAGGGTGAACTTCGATGCCCTCATTGTATGAGGTTTTTCAGTGATGAACTCAGTGATGAATTCCTCAAGCACGTTGCTGAATGCTGCCAGTGACCACGTGATGCGAGGCGTGTAAGTCGATCACTACTTTATAGACAGTACAACTTTGCTCTGTACACATCTCCTACAGTCCTAAACGGCAGTAATTCAAATGGACACCTCTTAGGAATTAGGAGGATGAACGATATCTACCTCTTATTTCATTTCACCTTCTCTTGGACTGTATGAAAGACTTCAAGATAAAGCAAAGTGTTTTTATGAAGAACTATTTTTGACAACTACGAGGAAGGCAAGAAACTTACAGTGGTAGTTAGCTTCAGAGTGCAGCTTGACTCATGTTTGAGTCTAATTTACAGTAGTCTGAAGGCTTGTGAAAAAAATTACTGAACTTGAAATTTTCCTTGTATTCCAAAAACGTAGGCTGAAGAACAAGGGAGGAGCATTTTGGCAGAAGATAGGAAAAATCTTATTGTGCTTTATCTGGATTAAAAGTGAAAGTATTTTCTTGTCTATTGAGGCTGAACTTTCCGACATCTTAACTGAAATCAGGAGAAGTGAAGAAAACAAAAGGGCTGGTTATTGACTCAAACTATCCTGTCTTTTTGCACAGAAACAATGCACAGGGTTATTTATTTTTTTTCTGTGCCATAAGTAACTATTTTACACATCTGTAAATGTGTATTTGTGTAATTATTGATTGTATTCCTATTTTACCTAAGGATTATTTTTGTAATAAAAATGATTGTGCAGTTGCTTTACTGTGTTAGTAAAATGGTCAAAAATCTCTCTTTCACTGTGTAAGTATTTAAAAATGAAGTAGTCCCAGTAACGGTAGTAAGGGCTAACTAAATGTCATGGTTTCAGCTATGAGTTATTTCATTACTGCAGTGATAACCAGTGTCTCACACTGTTTTCAAATATGTTCAAAAAAAAAATCACTCCTCATATATAAGAGAAAGAATGACCTTTCAGGTGCACAAGAGCACGTTTAACGCCCTGCCACATATCTGTGGCAACACCAATGCTAGCTTAATTTTCTTCTTGTCCTATCTACACTGGAGGAAACTTCAACAAATAGCAGGGAACTGTTTTGAGAAATACCGGAAGTTAAAGCGTACAAACGTGTAACAGGGCCACAGGTTTTTTCAACTTTGGCTCCAGGTGTTTCTCACCATATGGGGAGCTGGAGTTAAGGATGGGATACAAAGCAAAGGCCTAGTACAACCATGACTTTTCATAATTAAAGAAAACTTTGTAAAAACAACACTCCTATCTTCAGCTTTGCTTTCTTCCCAGTACTACACTTCAGGAAGATTGTGGATATTTCCTTTTCATGATCCTGAGCCCCAAAGGAAGACGATGCTTTATGCCAATGTTGCTTTAGGTGGGATGTTACCAAAACAGATGCATGCAGTGTGCAGGTGCAATGGTTCTTATTAATGTAATCTTGAACTGACTGCAAACCTGTGATTGATTACTAGCTTGTTTTTCCTCAACACAACATGCAAACACAGAGATTTTTTTTTTTTTTTTTTTTTTTTTAGAGACTATTTTATACATTGCCTTTTAAGGTCTTAGAGATCAGACGCAGCCCACAGAATATAGGCTGAGAAACATATGATTAACTTCCTGTGGCATAAACTAATCTTACTTTTTCTGACTGTTCTCATTAGCTTCAGTGTACACCAATACTCTATTGCCAGTGATTGATACAGCAGAATATGGACTTTTTTTAGCGATTCACATTACAAGATAGTTACAAACACAACAGCAAAGTAAGTTAGATATTGGCAGTGCATTGTTTTTTTTATTGCATTTGAGATGATCACTGCTTTAATATACATCAGCCAGAAGCTCAAGTCCGCAATAGGTTTCCACTCATGTTAATCCCCATGGGTATAGTTGAGCAGACTGATCTACAACTGTTAGAAATAGATGCAAGAATTAGATACAAGAATCTGCAGTGCACAGAAATTAATAGTACACATTCTTGTGGTTTTAAGACCTGTAAATTAGTCCCCTTGACAGGGCAGAGATTAAAATCCAAATCCTGGGAAAGCACTTAAAGGCTGGGAAACTGGATCTGTCTCCAGTTACAGATGAAGTTACAGGCCAAGCACAGATTACAGTTACCACCTAAAGTTATGCAATAAACAACTGGACTTTGAATACCCATGGAAAAAATCTAGGACAGATCTGCTGGTTTTCAGTATAAAAATACTTCACTTCAGAGTTATTTTATTTTACCATTTCCTACTGAGTTGGGTTTTTTTTGCAGCTGGTAAAAAGCCTTACCTATTTCTTTCTTGTTTTGTCTTAACCAAGAAACCAGTTACACACACTTTGAAGAACTACTAGTGTCTTACATGCAAATGTTTGTTTCAGATTATAGGACATGAACTATTCCTCTGAAGAAAACTTGTCTATTCCCCAGTGCTTTGACTTCTACACTCAAGTCACCGGTAGATCTCTTGACAGTATAAAATCTTTACTTGCCCTCTCCTCACCAGGCAAAGCATACACATCAAGGCATCCCAAGCAATCACCACTACCTGCATTCACAATTCAAGTTCCTCAACTTGTAGACCAGAATGCATTAAAACCGTCAGCTCCACTGCCCCAACACTGAAGTGAAAGCAGCCATGAGCTCCCAGCGTTTTTTGAACCCTTTAAAACTAAGGAAAGCTCCTTCTGGCCTCACGTTGGTCTTCTCTGCTACTTGGAGGGTCATCCAAATAGCACGTGTCCTGTTTGTTTAAAAAGTAAAAGCAACCCAGCTCCTTTCCCAAAAGAAAGCAATAAAGGCAGATGAGTAAGAAAGTAACTGCATAAAATGAAAGGAACTTCAATAGCATAAACTTTATGAACTTTCATTATCCATTTGTACCACACTTTTTCACTGAAACACACATCATCTGCAGAACTGCAGAAACAAGTCCTCACACAACAGACTCTTGAAATCATACAGAGAAACAACGTGACCGTACGGGACTCGGTTCCCTATTTGCTGTATTGGTAACAAAAGGCATCCAAGGGAGCTGAACCCTGTTATCAGGCCAAGGTAACGTCCATTCGGGTTTCTGTAAATCTCTCATTGCTGGTGAGCAATGCCCGTACCGGAGAGGCATGCCAATACTAGAAGACAGACAGAGATATCTCTGTAGGTCCAGGGAGCCTGGGAGGAGGCAGGATAACTCTCTTCTGGAACTTGTAGGAATGTGTCAGTATATTAAGAGCTACCAAGATGTATTTGTCCAAATATCTTCATGATTAGCCCATCTCTTCTCCTAAAATTTATCCCTCACTAAATCACCTTTCCTCAGTTTTGTTCTCCAAACCAACCTGAGTTCAGACCCAGGACAAGGCTCAGAGCTCCCGAGCAGCTGTCCCACCAACAACAAGGTTTTCAGACCATATATCCTCCGAGTGCTGGCAAGCTGGTTCTCATTACTCCTGGACCTAATCATAATGTATTTTACTTGGGATTTTGAAGTGAATGCTGTTTACTAATAACCGTGCTGGTTGCCATGCAGAAGGAGGCCCTTCGCACACGATCACGACAGCAGCTGTAGGCAAGACTGACTCACTGAATCTCAGAAAATACAACCGAGAGAAGCCTCAGAAGTTGGTCCCCACCCCAACAGCCCAGGAGAGACAAGCTCAACAATAATGCTGTCTTCTGTAGCATGGGCAGTATAGACCCTTAAAAAGCACCTCAAATCCTCCGCAACTTTTAAGGCGATGTCAGCTTCCCCCTCCAATGATGTAGGACATAACAGCTTTTAAAACAAGCCTTAAGTGACAGCTCCAGATTAAGTGCTCACTAATTATAAAACTGACTACATGAATAAAATTTGTTCAAGAAGCAGATACCTATGCTCAATGGTATTTTTTTTAAACTTCCATTTCCTGTGGCTTCGCTGCATGTGTATATATAGAAAGCAAGGGAAATTCCAAACAAGATGCCACACCGTTGTACTCAGAACAGCAGTGCTTCTCATTCTAGAAAAGAGAAGTCTCAAATTCTTTTTCTACAAAATCTATGTGAATTCAAAGTATGCTGTAGTAATATTTCCTAGTACCATGCTCCAGTAGCTATCAGCTGGAGGGATCAGCTAAAAACCTAAAGCGTAAGAAATACTTACAAAGCACCAGGTCAACCCAGCAGGACCTCAGCAAAGGTGGGGTATCAGGTTAAGCGTTCCTGCCTTCTTACCTGATGCCTCAAATTGCTCACTAAGGGCAAAGCCAAGCCCAGCCCAGCACCCTCACTGAAGCTTTTCCTGCCACAGGCCATCCTAGCTGGGAGGTCGCAGCTCCAGCAAGGCCAGGTAGGGATTTACAAGGTGCTGCAGCAACTGCTGGAACAGGGGGTCCTGAAAGGCACCAACCCTCCCTAGTGGCACAGCCTCCCCTCCCACTGCTGCTCCATGCATTCTTCCCCTTTCCCTTTAGCATTTCCACTTTTTCCTCCTTTTTTACATTTACTGATAAGAAGCTGTTGGTGCAGGAACTCTTCACAACATGCACTGGATGTACGGCATCTATAGTGGCCGATAGCCTCCCTCAGCAGCTTGAGATATTTCCACAGCACATGGAGCTCCATTGTGCCTTCTGGAGATCCGGCTGATGGATGGGCCGAGCACTGGCAAGCCGGGCAGCTCTGGTTGCCTGTGCTGATGCCACCTCCTCAAGGTCACACAAACTCACCGTGCTTGAGGCTTTCACGCTCTAATTTCTTACGGAGTGGGAGGGAGGAAAGAGCAATGGGACCCAGTTCTGCAGTGCTTGCAGGTCCACCTCCATCCCCTCCCTATCACCACTGCAGCCCTCTCTCTCCCTCCTCCCCCATCCTGCACTCACCCAATCTCTTTGTCAAATCTGTCTTCATACAAAAAACATTTGGTTTTTTGTTTTTTTTTTTTAATCCCCATAGACGCCTTCTTGGTTACACACAAATATCACACGTAGCTTTTACAGGACAAGCGCACCCGTTACCCAGCAAGTCTGGTGTCTGTCCCGCCAGCTCTTTGGCCAGCACTAGCACACCCCAGGCCGAGCTTCTTGGTTCCTGCTGCAGCCAGACTTCCTCCAGCCACATCCCAAACCTCCCCTGCACAGCCCGCAAGGCACAGCTGAATGGGACAGTGG